GGGGGGGGGGGGTGAATGACATGATCAATACCTGTTTAAAAAGCAACAAAAATAACAACCATGAAAACTTAAAGGATACATCTAGAATTATAGTCAAAGGTAAATTCATAATGTTAAACGCGTATTTATTAAGAACTAGAGAAGGGAAATTAATAAAGCATTCAACTCGATTTATTTTAAGTCTCTCTCTATATAATTATCCCATGGAAAATGGATTAAAGGAAATAATAAAGATTGAAATAGAAATAAGTCATTTAGAAAATACAACAGCATTAGAATGGTTTAAGGAAATGTTTTTGAAATAAATAGCAAATCTTTTGCATATAAATCTAGATGAATAAAAATACAGTACAAACCAAATAGAAAAATTGAGCTAAATATTTATCATAGAGATCAAAAGAGTATATAATGGAGGTGTGTGTTAGTCAATGCAAATTTTCTGATAAAATTTTTTTTTAAAAAAACACCTCATAGATTTTAAAACAGAAAACATGTTCTTGCTCATATAATCTCACAGATCATGGAACAGATCATTTTCATGTTATATAAAATATTCTAGACCATACAGATACAAAAAACTAGCTAATTCATTTCATGAAGGGGAGACAAGCTTCATAATAAAGCCAGTTACTGGTAATTTAAAAAGTAATACAGCAATCTTACTTAAAATTAAAGATGTAAAATTTCAAAATCAATATTAGCCAATAAAATTTAACATTATGGCAAGAGAATGATCACTATAGTTGAGTAATACTAAGCCTGGAAATAAAATGATGGAAATGTATTAATATAATAAATCACTGACCAATGAATGAGACTACAGGAGCAGGCCCTCGCCTGTAATTTCCTAGCACACGTGATGTCATCTGGGCCTGAAGGTTTTCAGAGGCTGCTCAGCCTCATCAGAGCCCCCGGCGGTACCCAAACTCGTGTGCAAGGGCCCAGGCTTCCCATAGCTTGCCGGAATTCCTGGGGCATGGACACCCAGAGGCGGTGGTGGCAGGACAGACCTGCTCCTTAACAACACAGAACCTGCCCCCTGCTGCTGCTGAGCTATCTGAGCCCTGACTAAGGCAAACGCTTCTGCTTGTACCTAGGCCCTTATCCTCTCTCATCTAGAAGCATTAATTTTCTTGCTCTTTTGGGTCATTGCATCTGCATAATATCTGATAGCTTGATATGTTTAAAAAAAACCCACACAAAAAAGCCTTTCTCTAGAACCCCACCTCCACCTCCAGTTATTGCCTTACTTCTTTGTGTCCCTTTACAGCTAATTCCTTAAAAGACTCTTCTTTTCCCCCTCCCTTTTTCCTCATAAACCAATTCCAATTAGATTTTCATCTCTGAAACGCCAATGAAACTGAGCCATCAGGTTTTAACATGACCAAATCAAAGGTCATTTCTCCAGACTGAACTCACAGCAGAGTCTAACAAAGGATCATCCCCTTGCTCTTAAAACACTTTCTTGACTTTACTTGACCTCTGTGACACCACAATCCCCTGCTTTTCCCCCATGTGAGTAGCCAAAATTTCCTAGTCTCTTCTTGTGGGCCAGAGGGTCTGAATTGACGCCATGAAAATCCAGGGCCTGGCAAGTGACTTGAGTCTTCAGATGTCCGTTGGTCTGATGCATGTAGAGAGGTCACCGTAAGGTAAAGGGCAGGCTGTTGATGAAAAGATTCGTCCCTCTGGCTGCAGTGCCTGTGTAACTTCAACCCATCGGGGTGTCTTCAAAAGGAACTGGTCAAGTTCAACTTACACTTTTAACAAACATTCACGGGGAGCAAAGGCCATTAGGCTGCCGAGTTCCAGCACAGCGGGAGCTTTTATGTAAAAGCAACAGACCTCTTAATATTCTGTTTCATAAATGAAGAGCTGACAGACCCCTAACTGTAACAGCAGCGGCAGACCAGCCGTAATGAGCGCGCGTGTGCACAGCACCAACAGGGCTCGCAGCAGGAAGGGCTCCGGGAGGTTCATGCCTGGCAGCCAGCACTAGGTGGAGGCAGTGACTCGCGCAACGCCGCCCCTCGAGAGCTTGCTTCTATTGAATAGTTTCCATCCTTTTCTTCGGTGTGGAAAAGACTGCTGTTAAACGATTGGTATCTTTAATACAAACATTTTATAAAACAAATTATTTCCTGTTGTAGAGGGACCACTTGAAAACACGTATATGCACATGTCTCACAAAGCAGCCACGTAAGTTTCAAAAGCAAGTTTATTTTCTTAACATAACGTATTTATTAACTCTGCCTTTCTAGTAAAGGTAAAACTAACTCTATTTATGATACTTTATGAGTATCCACCCCCGTGGATAGGAGTATGACCAAAGTTAAAGATACCCCCGTAGATATATCTGAACCAAAAAGATAAAAAATTAGAATAATTCTTCAATATTTTGGTTGACAGATAACCTCCTCCCTAAAAACTAAGTCGGGAATTGCTCCTATCAGTTTCAGTCTGATTAATGGAGTCACGGATCCACCGGAGCGATCTGCCCAGTTACTCTCGGGAGGGCCTGAGAAACAACGCGGCAGGCCAGGCTCCTGGAGCCAGGGCCTGGGTGCAACTGCGGCGCGGGCGGGCTACGAGGAAAGGCGCTGCTTTGCCGCCGTGGAAATCAATAGTAAAATACAAACAAACCTAAATGTGTCCCAGGTGAAGAGAGAGAGTCTTTTTTTACATTATATCAGAAGGTCGTAATTATATTGTTTTCAACAATGTAATGAGTATAGTATTAAAATATGATACAATATATAATTTGGATCTGATACAGTAAGTTATAAATATTCTGGCAAATTCAAACTTAAATCAGCAGTGCCTAACAAATATGCATGTAGAAATTAGATTCACATCTTACAGCTGTCAAAGAAACTCTTTTTGCTTTACACTGCCACCTTTTTATTTAGCTGGTCAATTTTTGTGTTTTGTTTATAGGTTATCTAAGATTAGACCACTTAGAATTCATCTATAATTAATTTAAAATTGCACAGTTCCTCAGAAACGGTGAAAGTATGAGTCACACAGCGCAACAATATATTCCATATGTTTATTTTGATAGAAATCAGTTTATAAGACTAACTTTAAGTACTTTGTCTCTAAAAAAGAGAAAAGCAGAAAGAAATGAGCCGACTGCAAAAATAACAATAATATAAAAACTATCTTCTACTTCAATGGGATTGAATAATTGCCCAACTGTTTTGAAGCTTGCTAAAAGTCTAGTCCTGTGGACAGGAAAGACATCATTCCAGATCAGGAACTGCACACACAACCTAATCTTAGGCACTATGTAGGGGTTAAAAGATTAGCTAGACAGCTGGAACCCTGGGTCTACCAGGTATCACTCTCTAGTCTTTTACCAGAGGTACCACTGTATGAATGTGTTAGGCTGCATTTATTTTGCAATTTTAGTTTATGTAAATAATTATTTTCAAGATTTAAATCTTAAATAACTTTACCCTAACAGAAACAAGCACTGAAGAGTTCAGTGTTAATGACTTACCAGCCTGAATTCACAAAGATCAGGTAGCTTTTGCATATTAAATTTTATTTTACTTTATTCCTGGAATATTTTTACACACTAATAAATACCCTTGGAATTTGTTCCTCTGTCTTTTATATATTCCCATTTGCCCACCTCTTTACATTATTTTGATACCTAGCAAATTACTTAAGATAGATCCTAGACTTTTTTAAATTGATTCTGAGAGAGAAAGAGAGAGATTTGTTTTTCCACTTATTTACGCATTCATTCGT